TTTTTTTTTTTTTTGAGTCAGAGTCTCACTCTGTCACCCAGGCTGGAGTACAGTGGCATGATCATAGCTACCGCAACCTTGACCTGCTGGGCTCAGTCAGTCCTTCTACCTCAGCCTCCCGAGTAGTTGGGACTACAATGTACACCACCTTGCCCAGCTAGTTTTTTTATTTTGTAGACAAGATCTCTCCATGTTGCCCAGGCTGGTCTTGAACCCCTGGGCTCGGGCAGTCCTCTCACCTCTGCCTCCCAGAGTGCTGGGATGACAGGTGTGAGCCACTGCACCTAGCCAGAACATGGTTTTCTTTTATCCCCTGATATTGAATGACCAGTGCGAGGGATGGGTCAAAGGCTTCTTTCTATCCGCAAAACTCTTCCGGATGCCAGTACCTCCTATCAGAGCTTAATTCTCACAGTGTCCTCAAGAATCTTGCAAAGAGGCTGCCTTGCTGGTCTGCAGCCCAGAAGGACCCTATCAGTCAACACTAGGACAACATGTGTGCATTTGCTCTTGGCAAAGACTAATGCTTTGCTTATGGAAATAATAGCCGCCATTTATCAAATGTCTTACACGTGCAAGGCACTTGACATTGTCCCTGTTCCTGTAACAACCTGTAAAGCGAGTGATAATAGCCTGGCCTTAGAGATGACAGAATTGGGACTCAGAGTTGTTAAGTCACTTGTCCGGGATCACACAGCCTACACTGGCAGAGTGAGAACCCAAACCCATGCACACAGGACCGCGGATCCCAGGTGGGCTCTTGTCGGTGCCCCTGACGGCTGCTCCACTCACATCTCCTGGGCTCATGCCAAGGATTGTGCACACCGGGGTGTGTACATGTTTCAGGATTTGCCATTTGGTGTGGGGTTTTTTTGTGATGGCACGTGGGACAGAGTGGGGTACTGAGTCATCTTTTTCAAGGTTGAAAAAATCACTGTAATGAAGTAAAAATCAGCCTCCTTGAGTTATGGATAGATAGTGCCCAGGACCCTGCGAGTGTCAGGCAGATGGAGAGATGGCTTTTATTCATTCATTCTCCAGAAAGTTCTGGAGAGTCTGTTTCTTAGGAAGCATTGTGTGTGATGCCGTAGGAGGCAGAAGTAAATCGGCAGGATGGCCATCTTGGAGCCCCTGTTCCCTGGACGATCCCTGCTTGTTCCCTGGCTAGAGCAGAGCGGTCATAAGTCTCACCAGTACGTTCTCTGAATTCTTGGGTTTGCTGGCCTGTATTAGTTCTCGCCCACTTGAGTTGAACTTAGTTGTCATGTGTGTGTCCCACGATGATAGCGGGATGGTGGTGGTGACTGTAAATGCGTGCTCTCCCCTTTGCAGTCCTTGTATGGCATGAAGATGGCGGGCCTTCCCGAGTCACCGGGGACTTAACCGCAGGGCTCTTTCTCTGCTCACTTGGGCACTCGTGAGGTCTCATCTCACCAGTGGCTTTGTCTTTTCTGTCCCCCATGTAGTATCTACAGATGAAATGGCCGCTCCTCGATGTCCCCTCCAGCGCCACAGTAAAGGACACAAGGTCACCATCTCCTGCACACTTGGTAAGTCTGATCTGCCTTAAAACCCCAAAGGGACACTTTGACTGACCTTGTCCCGTGCCACTTCCTCCCCTCACCCTTCGTGAGGCTGATGGGGTCCTTCAGTGCGGTGAGGGAGAACTGATGGGCTGGGCTTAACACTTAGGCTGTGACATATGCACACCTCCACACACACACACCTCCTCAAATGCCGTGATCGGAAACGCTGTTCCCCAGCCCCTGCGGCCCTGGCTGTTGTTCGCCCTGGTTCCTCACAAAGCCTGTCTCACGTCCTTCCCTGCTGGTACCTGAACCCCTGTCCCCTTCACATGGGCAAGGCTGGCCTTTCTCTCCTGGTGGAGCTCATCCAGCGTTATCTCCTCTTGAAGAGGCTCTTCTGAACAGGATTTGTGATAGGAAGCAATCCATTGCAACATGTGCAGGCCAGGCACGGCGGCTCACACTGTGATCCCATCATTTTGGGAGGCCAAGGTCGGAGGATCCGCTTGAGGCCAGGAGTTCAAGACCGAGTCTGGAGTTCAAGACTTAGCAAGACTTCGTCTTTACCAAAAATCTTAAAAATTAGCTGAGTGTGGTGGCGAGCACCTGCAGTCCCAGCTACTTAGGCAGAAGGATGTCCTGAGCCCAGGAGGTTGAGGCTGCGGTGAGCCATGACCATGCCACCACACTCCAACCTGAGCGCCAGAGACCTGACTCAAAAAGAAAATGCACACCTGAGCCTTTCCTGCGAGGCTCTGTGGCAACACCAGGCTGAAAAAAGCACTCCCAAGGGAGGCAAGGGCAATGACGTCCAGCAGGTCCTCTCTCTTCCTCAGGACGTGCCACAGACTGGAGTCCAAAGCACATAAGAGACAAATGCTGCTGAAATGCGACCTTGCGTGCCACTTTCCTGGGCTTTTCTTGAGATGGCGCATCAACACTTGTCTTAAGCCTCACTCCCCCATAAGCTAACGGGTGTTCCGCACAGGCCAGTGAAGGCTCAGCCTCAGGGAATGCAGCTAGGACCCTCATCTGGCATGGCCTGTCCATGTCACCGGCCTAGGGCTTCACTTTACCCCTGCACCACGTCTAAGGCATCTGGCTTGCCAAATGTTTATTAAAACTTCTGCATGGAAAATCTTAAAGATATACAAAGTAGAGAGGATCATGTGGTGTTCCCTTCACCCGTCGTCCCCTCCCACCACACCGAGTTTTAAAGCAAATCTCAGGCATGATTTCATTTTGTGATATACCGATCATCCTTTCTCATTAAAAGCTTAGAGTCAGCCAGGCTTGGTGGCTCAATCTGTCATCCCAGCACTTTGGGAGACACAGGCGAGTGAATTGCCTGAGTCCGTGGGTTCGAGACCCACCTGGGAAACTTGGCAAGACCTCGTCTCTACAATTCATCAAAAATTAACCGGGCATGGTAGCACATGCCTGTAGTTCCAGCTATTTGGAAGGCTGAGGCGGAAAGATCACTGGAGCCCAGCAGGTCGAGGCTGCAGTGGCCAGGAGTGTGCCACTGCACTCCAGTCTGGGAGACAGAGTGAGAGACTCCAACTCTTTAAAAAAAAAGCAAACTTTCTCATGGAAAATCTTAAAGATATACAAAGTAGAGAGGATCACACGGTGTTCCCTATGCCCTTCGTCTCCTCCCACCACACCGAGTTTTAAAGCAAATCTCAGGTATGATTTCATTGTGTGATACACTGATCATCCTTGCTCATTAAAAGCTTAGAGTCTAATTGAAGACAAGGAAGAGATGCATACACAGATACTTAACAGCGCTGTGAGCCTGTGACTGCCAGTATTTCCAAGACTGGCAGGTGGAGCCCTGGGTGGTCCACAATGGGCGCCAGGCACAGCTCTTGGATGACTGTCGCAGCCGTCCAGCAGCGAGGCAGGTGAGGATGGCTAAGGAGGGAACGGTGTGTTGGGACCAGCCATCCAGGACGTGCTGTCCCAAGAGGCGCAGATCCCTGGCAGCAATTCCGTGGCTGGTCACCAAGGCATGAGCAGCCATTGGACAAGCATCCCAGGAACAAGCCAGAGTGGTGACTCCCACCTCCTGGGTCCCATTTGGTCTGGCCAAGCATGAGGTGCGGGTGCCCTCTAGTGGTGCGAGTCAGCCGTGGTGGGTGCCGAACACCCAACTTGGCCCCACCCCTCCAATTCCAGCCGTCTGTCTGTAAGGGTGTCAGATCTAAGGATGTGATTTCCCTTTAAAAACGAATACGAATCCAACTCAAAAATGAATAAATGAAAAAGTCCGGGCTCAGTGGCTCAGCCTGTCATCCCAGCACTTTGGGAGGCCGAGGTGAGTGGATTGCCTGAGCCAGCGTGTTCGAGACCCACCCGGGCAACTTGGCGAGACTTCGTCTCTACAATAAAATAAAAAATAGCTGGGTGTGGTAACACGCACCTGTAGTTCCAGCTACTTGGAAGGCTGAGGCGGAAGGATCGCCAGAACCCAGCAGGTGGACACTGGGGTGGCCGTGAGTGTGTGTGCCCCTGCACTCCAGCCTGGGCGAATGAGTGAGACTCCAACTCAAAAAACTCTAATACATGACCAAGCATGGTGGCTCACACCTGTAATGCTAGCATTTTGGGAAGCCAAGACAAGAGGGTTGTGAGGCCAGGAGTTCAAGACAGCGTAGGCAGCATAGCAAAACCTCATCTCTCCAAAAATAAATTAGCCTGGCATGGTAGCACACGCCTGTAGTCTCTGCTACTCCAGAGGCTGACGCGGAAGGATCGCCTGAACCTAGGTGGTCAAGGCTACGGTGAGCCATGATCGTGCCGCTGCACTCCAGCCTGGGCAACAGAGTGAAACCCTGACTCAAGAAAAAAAACAAAAGCCGGGCTCCGTGGCTCAGCCTGTCATCCCGTGCCTTTGGGAGGCTGAGGTGAGTGGACTGCCTGAGCCCGCGGGTTCGAGACCCGCCTGAGCAACTTGGCGAGACCTCATCTCTACAATAAGTCAAAAATCAGCCGGGCGTGGTAGCGCATGCCCGTAATTCCGGCTCCTTGAAAGGCTGAGGTGGAAGGATCGCCGAAGTCCAGCAGGTCGAGGCTGCGGTGGCCGGGAGTGGCCTCTGCACTCCAGTCTGGGTGACAGAGTGAGACTCCAACTCAACAAAAAAAACAAAGAAAAACACGATCACGTGTCCTCTGCATGCCCCATCCTTCCTGTTGTGCAGAATAATCCACCTCTGAAAAATAAGAACCCCTGTGTTCTCCTGCCTTCTCCTATGGACATCGTCCTGTTTTCCTCCTGATGTTTGCCACCCACCTTTTCCCACCTCTGTTACATCATTTATTCTGCCAATCTTTTCAGCCTGTTCAGCTCTCCAGTTGCCGTCTAATAACTAACTCCGACCGTTTTTCTGCTTTTTCTCTGTGCAGCCGACATCTGATGGTAGTTGCTACACCCTCTGCTCATGTAATCCTTTTTATTGATTTCAAGGTGCAATGTTAATACATAGGATCGCTTCTTTGTCCTTTCTAAGCTACTAAACTCTTTTCCTCGGATAAATCAGCTACTCATCATCGTTTATTCTCCATGTAAGTGACAGAAAAATTATATGACGTCCCCAAACTCTTAAGAAGGTCCTACATCCTGGCCGGGCTCAGTGGCTCAGCCTGTAATGCCAGTGCTTTGGGAGCCCGTGGGTTCGAGACCCACCTGGGCAACTTGGTGAGACCTCATCTCTACAATAAATCAGAAAATCAGCCAGGCGTGGTAGCACGCGCCTGTAGTTCCAGCTACTTGGAA